TAGTGAACTCATAAATGGGTTTGAGGATAGAAATGTCATCATCAGTGATATCTAGGCTTGAAAGGAATAGGAGTATGTTTTTCTTCCTCAGGATGTCGATATCAACCTGTTTAAACAATTAGGCCACCACAATTTCACTCTATTAAAAACCTAATATACTTCTTAAACAACAATTTCTAAGGGCAGTAGAGCAAACCGTTTGTTCAGTAGAACCATCAATCAGTGGCTGAACATTGTCTTTGCTAAAGATCAGGGCCTTGAAAACCTCCTTGATTTCAGTAGGAGTTCGAAAGATTTTCCTTATCCTCCGGTAAGCTTCTGCGTCCTCTGTGGATTATACAGAAAATTACTTTCTTCAGCATTTTTCATTAATATTATAATATGACTCCTAATGAAGGATATGCAAGTAATTACACACCAACTTGTTTTCTACAAATTTTCAGCTGTACGTTAAGCTTGTTCAGGATGAAATGGATTTTTTGAGCGTATGGGACTAGGTCATGCTCCTTGTCCCTGAAACAAAGGCAACCATGGTCTTATTATTTTGAAGTACTAAACAAATATTGAATTTTTTTTGGTCAGACATCAATTAAGAATGAAGAGTTAACGTACTCATCACTGGTGAGAATAGTGACCTTAGTTGCGCAAGCAACAAGAGTCAAAATAGCCCAATATGCATCCACTGGAATATGTTCCATTGCTAATGCCAACTCCGGCACATCCCTTGGATCGTAACTGGAAAGCTTTTCAAACTGATCGAAGATCCCGATAACTTGCATTGTAACCTTGATCAAGTTGTTAAGCTCAACCACTGCTTGCCTTCTTTTTTGCAGGTTTGAGGGCTTGAGGAGGAAAGGGACTCTCTTCAGGATTGAAATTGATTTGGCAAGTCGGTCCGATTCCTGAGCCTGGGCAAGGAGCCAGAACTCCCCATATTCCATAGCAAAAGCTGCCAGAGTCAGCACTGCCTTTGCTTCCCATGAATAGTTTGACAGCTTGTTCAGTATTACAAGGGCAGTTTCATGGGCAACTTTCTCACCAGGAGGTTTGCATTGCATCTGAAAATTTAAGTATTTAATAGTTTTAATATGAAAAATATGAAAGCAAACAATAAAAAATAAAAAATAAAAATAATGTATGTACATGAAAATTGTTACGAGCAATATAAACAAAAATTTATTTATTTTCTGATGTAATTACCTCGCTGGCTATGGACTTAAGTATGCACAATGGTGTACTGAAGTTGGCCATGAGGGGCTTCTCCTCTATGTTTTCCTCATGCACTTGGGTACCCTGCAACAACCCACAAGTTTATGTAGCAGTGCTTTAGATATTAATAATAATTAATAATGATCAATGGTATGATAATATATAATTAATAATAATAATTAATAAGAACCTTTGTGATAAAGTACCTGCACAATTTTGTCGACAGTTTGGATTGCATGCTTGAGGATGTTTTCAACAATTTCGAAAAGAGAATCCTCATCAAA